TCACTAAACAGGAGTCTCAGTAAACAGTGTTGGATGAAATGAAAACAAAATGGCTTAGACAGGGTATTTACATGTGGTACGGGCATTTTATGAGATATTTCAAAAATCTGCCAACTAAATTGTTACTAAACAATTTCTTCACCAATATGTTTGTAAAGGTTTGTAATAACATGCCTTAAAATGTTGAAGTTCAACTCCCGTGGGAAACCCTGAAAAAAAACCTGCTCAAGTTCGGGTACTGATAAATGATTTTCGAAAAATAGATTTAAAAAAAGAAAACTGCCTGAAGTAACTTATGAGGGATCAAATCAGGGTTTTTTCATGATTCTGAGTTGATTGTTGACATTTATATTTCACTACAAACACTCCATTGTTGAAAAAGGCCACACTCACGCTTACATCCACAGCAGCTTTTATTTCACATACTTATATAACACTCAGTTATTTCTCATTCACAGTGTCAGAAGCTTCTAGAGTCATTGTCTATGTCTTCTTCAGACTCAACAACATCATGACCGCAGTTTCTGCATGTGATGCCTTTACAGACTCCACAGGCCCAGATGCTCGTGACCCCATTCTTCTGGCAGCTGCACCGCCGGTCGCTGCAATCGCCACGACAATTACAGCTCGTGAACTTCAGTAGCTCCTCAGGAGCCATGGGGTCTAGTGTTGGAACTGGTTCATACCCATGCACACCTAATGTCCATCCATAGTCACTGGGGTTCAGAGACCTGCTCTGTAGAAGGATCCAGTCCAGTCCTCTGTTGGAGGGAGAGCCTCTGGTTTGATCACTCCTTCCACCGCCTTCCTTCAGAACATTTTGTGCTAAATTTCACCCAATGTAGTATCTGGTCTATGATAAATGTACTGGAAAGTCGCAGTCCCAGCCTGAATTACTGCCTCCTTTATTATTTTTAATATTTTTACTATGATGATGATGATGATGATTATTATTATAATAGCAGTGTTATCATTATTACCTGTCAAATAGAGATGTTCCTTGAGAACATTTGGTACAAAATGTTCTCAAGGAAGGCGGTAGGAAGGAGTGATCAAACCAGAGGCTCTACCTCCAACAGAGGGTGCAGCTGCCAGCATTCACTCCATGCCTACCTGCAGACCAGGACTGGATCCTTCTACAGAGCAGGTCTCTGAACCCCAGTGACTATGGATGGACACTAGGTGTGCAGGGGTATGAGCCAGTTCCAACACTAGATCCCATGGCTCCTGAGGAGCTACTGAGTTCACCAGCTGTAATTGTCGTGGAGATTGCAGCTGCCAGAAGAATGGGGTCACGAGCATCTGGGCCTGTGGAGTCTGTAAAGGCATCACATGTAAAAACGGCAGTCATGATGTTGTTGAGTCTGAAGAAGACATAGACAATGACTCTAGAAGCTTCTGACACTGTGAATGAGAAATAACTGAGTGTTATATAAGTATGTGAAATAAAAGCTACTGTGAATGTAAATGTAAAAGTGAGTGTGGCCTTTTTCAACAATGGAGTGTTTGTGGTGAAATATAAATACTAACAATCAACTCAGAATCATGAAAAAACCCTGATTTGACCCTCATAAGTTACTTCAGGCCAGTCGTTTGTCTGTGCCCTAACTTGAGCAGGTTTTTTTTAAGGTTTCCCACAGGAGTTGAACGTCAACATTTNTCACTAAACAGGAGTCTCAGTAAACAGTGTTGGATGAAATGAAAACAAAATGGCTTAGACAGGGTGTTTACATGTGGTACGGGCATTTTATGAGACATTTCACAAATCTGCCAACTAAATCGTTACTAAACAATTTCTTCACCAATATGTTTGTAAAGGTGTGTAATAACATGCTTTAAAATGTTGAAGTTCAACTCCCGTGGGAAACCCTGAAAAAAACCTGCTCAAGTTAGGGTCCTGATAAATGATTGTTGAAAAATAGATTTTTTTTAAAAAATCGGCCTTAAGTAACTTATGAGGGGTTAAATCAGGGTTTCTTCATGATTCTGAGTTTATTGTTAACATTTATATTTCACCACAAACAGTCCATTGTTGAAAAAGGCCACACTCATGCTTACATTTACATTCACAGTAGCTTTCATTTCACATATTTATATAACACTCAATTATTTCTCATTCACAGTGTCAGAAGCTTCTAGAGCAGGGGTCTCGAACTCCGGTCCTCGAGGGCCGCAATCCTGCAAGTTTTAGATGTTTCCTTCTTCCAACACACCTGATTCAAATGATCAGGATGGCTATCAGGCTTCTGCAGAGCTTGATGATGAGCTGATCATTTGAATCAGGTGTGTTGGAAGAAGGAAACATCTAAAACTTGCAGGATTGCGGCCCTCGAGGACCGGAGTTCGAGACCCCTGTTCTAGAGTCATTGTCTATGTCTTCTTCAGACTCAACAACATCATGACTGCAGTTTCTGCATGTGATGCCTTTACAGACTCCACAGGCCCAGATGCTCGTGACCCCACTCTTCTGGTAGCTGCGCCGCCGGTCGCTGCAATCTCCACGACAATTACAGCTGGTGAACTTCAGTAGCTCCTCAGGAGCCATGGGGTCTAGTGTTGGAACTGGTTCATACCCATACACACCTAATGTCCATCCATAGTCACTGGGGTTCAGAGACATGCTCTGTAGAAGGATCCAGTCCTGGTCTGCAGGTAGGCACAGAATGAATGCTGGCAGCTGCACCCTCTGTTGGAGGTAGAGTCTCTGGTTTGATCACTCCTTCCACTGCCTTCCTTGAGAACATTTTGTACTAAATTTCACCCAATGTAGTATCTGGTCTATGATAAATGTACTGGAAAGTCGCAGTACCAGCCTGAATTACTGCCTCCTTTATTATTTTTAATATTTTTACTATGATGATGATTATTATTATTATAATAGCAGTGTTATCATTATTACCTGTCAAATAGAGATGTTCCTTGAGAACATTTGGTACCAAATGTTCTCAAGGAAGGTGGTGGAAGGAGTGATCAAACCAGAGGCTCTCCCTCCAACAGAGGGTGCAGCTGCCAGCATTCACTCCGTGCCTACCTGCAGACCAGGACTGGATCCTTCTACAGAGCAGGTCTCTGAACCCCAGTGACTATGGATGGACATTAGGTGTGCATGGGTATGAGCCAGTTCCAACACTAGACCCCATGGCTCCTGAGGAGCTACTGAGTTCACCAGCTGTAATTGTCGTGGAGATTGCAGCGACCGGCGACGCAGCTACCAGAAGAATGGGGTCACGAGCATCTGGGCCTGTGGAGTCTGTAAAGGCATCACATGTAGAAACTGTAGTCATGATGTTGTTGAGTCTGAAGAAGACATAGACAATGACTCTAGAAGCTTCTGACACTGTGAATGAGAAATAACTGAGTATTATATAAGTGTGTGAAATAAAAGCTGCTGTGAATGTAAAAGTGAGTGTGGCCTTTTTCAACAATGGAGTGTTTGTGGTGAAATATAAATGCTAACAATCACTGTCAGTCTGCCCCAGGGCAGCTGTGGCTACAATCGTAGCTACCACCACTAGAATGAATGTGTGTGAATGAATAATTGATGGTGTAAAGCGTCTTTGAGTGTCCAGAAAAGCGCTATATAAATCTAATCAATTATTATTATTAGAATCATGAAAAAACCCTGATTTAACCCTCATAAGTTACTTCAGGCCAGTCGTTTGTCTGTGCCCTAACTTGAGCAGGTTTTTTTTAAGGTTTCCCACAGGAGTTGAACGTCAACATTTTAAAACATGTTGTTACACACTTGTACAAACATATTGGTGAAGAAATGGTTTGGTAACGATTTAGTTGGCAGATATTCGTATGTTTCCCTTACTAATGACCATGTGTGTTTCTGTACTTTCCAGGGCACCTCAATGCGCAGTAAGGGTGAGGAGGTTAAACTTCCTGCACCTCTCGATACGATCAACCTGCATTTGCGTGAAGGCTTTATTGTACCAACACAGGTAAATAGTAGTGTTGTTTCTTTCCTGACTGATTGCACATTCTTTCATTATCATGCTTCATAGAGCTGTATGATCTGTGGCCTCTACTGACAACAGACAGACGAGTCACTGCTTGAGCGACCAAAGCGCCTAAAACAAACTTTGAAAAGAAATTCTAACTAGAGTCTCACAATTAGGGCATTTTGATGAACAGAGAACTGGTTTTGTTCTTGTCAGCACACCAGGGCTGTTTGGGACCCACAGAACCAAACCCCCCAGGTTAGGGTTAGGGTTAGGTTGAATCTTGTGGATTTTAAGGTAACTCCGTGCTTGTGCACTGAAGCTGCAAGAATTCCACGAGTTTATGCAAAACTTCCACCAAAAGGTGAACTGAATGAAGCCTAAAAAAACATTATCTGATCATACATGATATCTTTTGGGAGATTTGGCAGATCAGAGACGTGCCACTTTCCGGTCAGTAATTCCTGACTTTATTTTCTCTCCGTTCAGACACCCAACCTGACTCTGTGGGTGAGCAGCGGTCAGCCTCTCCATCTGGTCTCTGCTCTGTCTGACGACGGTTCAGCCAGTGGAGATCTGTTCTGGGACGACGGAGAGAGCATCGACACCTACGAGAACGACCAGTACGCCTACATCATCTTCAACGTCACTCAGGTGCTCGCACTCATCTAGTTTTGCTTTAACAGAATTTTAAAAAAATCTATCCTCAGTATGCTGCCTCACATCAGCCTGCTGTGTCTGATTTTGATTGTGATCGCTCGTATCTCGCTGCACGCCTGCTGATAACTGTCTGAGCTTGTTTAATTCAGCTGGGGGTTCTGTGCGGTGATGAACATTTTCAGGTGACAAAGTGAGAGTTTCCACAGATACACAGCAGGCTGCAGCTGAGCCCACTGAGTTAAAACCTACAAACTTTAAGTGTATGTTGGGCCTGCTGAAGTGAGAAAAGCAGTGGACGCACCTGGCAGGGCAAAAGCACAATGTTTTATTTTGAAGCAGTTTTATTTAAACACATGCTGCACGGTGACTAAACTTCCCTGTCTTGTTTTGTAGAAGGTGATGACATCCCAGGTGCTCCACAACAACGTGGAGGCGACGTACATCACCGTGGAGTCGTCCTCGTTCTACGGCGTAAAGGAGAAGCCCAGCAGAGTGCTGGTGAACTCCCAAGAGGCAACATTCACCTACAGAGAGAACCAGGTGAGGTTAGGAGTCCTATTAGGATGGAAACAGTAGATACACTTTTGTTGTTTTTTTTTTAATTCTAGGTGATTGTTACTAATATTCTCAAACTACTTCACTTTTTCAGAAATTGTGGATAAATGCAAGATTTTAGCAAATAAGAATTCTTCTGTGAATCAGACTAATGTTAGCAGAGCAACAAACTCGAGCTCAAACAGATAAGACAGACCCACTAACACACACTGCAGCATTTCACACAACCTCAGCTAACTCTAGTGGGTTTAAGAAAATAACTCCATCTGTAGTTTGCTCCTTTTCAAAAGCCAAAATCTCGTACGAGGTTACAACCTTTCAGTTAATGGCTTTTCACGGTACCGTCTATGGATACAGCAGAGACTGTTCTCCACAGCTGGAGACGTAACTTCACAACAACACAGCAGAGCGCTCTGAAATCTTTCATTTTTCCTTTAACCAGTAAATGGCGCATTTATTTTGTCATTTTCATGCAGAAAGAAGACTGTTAAAGCCACTCAGTTACAGAAATAAGCCCCTTTTCTGCTGTTTTCTTTTAGACAGTGACTCATCGACACCACTTAGTTTCACTATAAGTTACATTTCATTTGCAGCTCAGAGGTCTGACACACACTGAAGAAATATTTTGATGGACTTTTTATTGATTCAAGAATAGTTAAGAATCTGTTTGTGACACCAAGAATTAGAACTGAATCGAATCAGGAGATTTCCACAGTTTTCCATCACTGCTGTTTTTCACGCTGAGTTGCTTTTACTTTATGTAATTAGCATTTAATCCCTAAAATATAGCAGAATAGATACCCAGTGGTAGATGACATGCTCCACAGCAATGAAAGATGCTAATTTAACATAAAGTACAACCAGTGCTGTTAGTGAATAACAGTCCTTTATTGTGTAAACCAAAAAAACCTTCTTTCTGTAGTGAATCGTTTGTTGCAGTTGTCATTGTTGTGTGTGAAAAAAAATCTTTGACTTTAGTAAAAAAAAATCACAAAATCAAATAACTCGTAAAAAGCAAGTTAAAGTCCTGCATTCAAATTGTCCTTAAACAAAACACATAGCTTGACAACACAATGTATTTAACGCGTGAAAAGCAGAAGTAGTGCAGAATGGTCCGTATCAGTCAGATATTATTAGATCATTATTGTTCACATGTTTAGATGTGAGCAACGTTTTCAATCTAAAACAATGCAACATCCTGTATAACCTGAAAATGTGTTTTATTTCTGTTCATAGGGTAACATTCCTCATTTTCTTTTGTCTCAGCAGGTGCTCATAGTTACAAATTTGGGTCTCAACCTCAGTCAGAACTTCACCATCAGCTGGATGTAAAGAATTCAATCGCTGGTTTTATTTTTTTGCTGCTGATCTGCAAGCAATCTGTGAGTTTTAGGAGAGTGATGTTTTTCATTGTTTTGGCTCTTTACTCCACAACACTGGATGTCAAAGGAGATGTCAGGTAAATGTGAAACCTCAGCTGGTTTTCACCTTTAACGAGCACCGTTTCACTGAACGCTCTGGAGGACACCTGTACATCTCTGCAGCAAACTGAGAAGGTAAACCTCTACAGGTTCAGATTCTCGAAGCACGTTAAATCTCTCTTGAATGTAGTTCACGTCAGTTTCGGGTGTAGTGCGCATAAACGTTCTCACACTTTGCTACCAAAAGATGCCGTTGTGGATGCCGATAATGAAAGTCTTTGTTTCACTTGTTGTTTTGGAGTACAGAGCCGACAAACTGTCCATTTGTCAGAATTGAAAATGAAGGTATCCGGAAACAAGCGAGGTCTAGAGTGTGTGTGTGTGTGTGTGTGTTAATGTAAACGTCATCCGGCTTTGCACAGCTGCAACAGGTAAAAGCATCTTTGTGTGCTGAACGAGCATCCATTCAAAGGCTTGTGAACACGCTGCCACTGACCCACAGTAGTTCTGACACTGCTTTGAATAATCTTTGCTGAATTTTCACTTGATGGAACCAAAAAGCTTGACTTGGCCTCCGTACTTTTAGTTTTTATCTTTAGCTTTGTTTAGTCTAAACTGCATTTTAGAGATTCTCATCAGCAAACAGATGATGTGCAATAAATCAACAAGAGTATCGTCTCCCTTCCTAAAAATGTGAGTCTGCATATCGCTCATGATGTAATATACTGTATATGCTTGGAAGCTGTTTACTGCCTATTTTGCACTAATTGGTATGTTGAAGGAAGATAGAGGTGCCTTATGATTCCTCTTTGTGTGTGTTTTTTGAGCATCTCTGGGTTCTTCTGGAGGCTTCTTTGTTCAGCTTAGCCGTTTTTTTTTGTTTTTTTTTTTTTTGTCTCTGTGGAGCGTGTTATTGTGTTGTGTGCGGGTTTTTTTTTGATGTGGTGTGTGATTCTGGAGAAAGTTTGTTGATAGCAATATTCAGATAGTCGGCACGTGCCAGATTTACCGTCCTGCCTGCCCCCACTGCCCTTTTTTCCTCCTGTGCTCGAGCGCAAACGTGCACAGGACACACTGGGAAAATGTTTGGATCGATCTGAGCTGCTTTGTTTGTTTCACATTTACGGAGCCACGGTTGTCGGTAAACACGAAGAACATAATAGAGATGAAGTGTACAGAATTACTGACTCCACCTTTAGGCACAAAACTATACTAGAGCCGAGTGTTGTACCATCATTTTACTGTGACTTTCCTCAGCAAGGCTTCTCTGACAGAGCAGAACTAAGAGCTAAAGCTAAATGCATTTCTTCATTTCAAAATCAGCAGCATTCGTTCTGCCTCCTTTTGACCTTTATGCTGTGAAAATCTGTCCTGAATTATACTTTTGTGGAGAGTCTGCACCTTATGCATCTTTGGAAAACAACTTGTGAAAGAAACAATAGATGCATGTGTGCTGCAAAAATAATTACACTAACCGTCCAGATTTGATTATTTCAACACTGTTATTTCAAACATGTAAAGACAGCCTTTTTGTTATGTGATTTACAGTTGTGACGCCAAATATTTGAAGTATTTTACCATGACGCTTTGTGTTTTACATTTTGTAAGTGCTTATGTTTGATTACATGAACGACATTAAAAGTATTGGAATTAACTATTGGACTGTTGTTGGTTTTTTTTTTCCTGTCAGCGCAAACATTGTGGTGTAGCAACAAGTACAATCCATGTTTTGTTTTTTTAAAGATTTAAACCTACTTTACTTTGAGGCCTTCCCTAATCAACGTATTAAAATAGGTCATTTCTTTCTTGCTTGCTGAAGTGCTGAAGTGCACAGGACACTAGAGGGCACAATTTGTCAAGGCTGTGATTGTTTTTGGTATCATTTCACATAAATTGTCACTTTTTTTTGCTGAAAATCTGACAGTTTGTTCTAATTTGAGGATAAAATGAATAATAAATACCAATTCCTCTTCCTGCAACTTCAAAAAGGATCCTGACGCTGAATCCACAACAGCTTTAAAAGTACCTGAACTGTTTTATGAGCTTACACTAGAAAAGGTTTTACAGCAACAATTAAAAATGATTTATCTATTTCTTATCAGGATGTAATTATCTCTCTCGACTAAAGCTAGTTAATGTTTGCCTTGTTTACTTTACCACAGTCACTCTTGGAGCAGTTAACAAGGTAGAAATCCTGTTGGCACGTGTTGTATTTTTCTTAGTTTTACTAATTATTTCCTCCCTTTGTTCTCGCAGTAACACCATATTAATTTTCCTCACGCTTCTCTGTTCTCAGTTCAGTTTTCTGTCAGTGTTTCCTTTTAAAAACCTCTGACCTCAGAGTCTCTCTGTGTTTTTGTTGCTAATGAGGATCCACCATCTCCACCCTGTAAATTCCAGTAGTTACGGAGATATACTTAAATATATGTGTCATCTGGGAGCTCTGATAAGTTAGTTTGGTTAGTGTGTGCTGCTCTCTTCATAGAAAACTAACCAGAGGACAAGAAGTTGGAAGAAAAGTGTGAGAGGAGCCTTGATGCGGAGCCTTTTCACTGGATCTCATGAGTCATTGCACCAAACAAGTATTTCACTGTCCGTGACACACACACACACACACACACACACACACATCAGCTCCAGAAAGTGAAAGCAAACAGCCCGTCTCACGTTCCCACTCTGATAGCAGGGTTAGATTATACTGCACTACTGATAAACCAGACTTGCAATAGACGTGCTTTTATTGGCCGTGTGCAAACGTTCACAGGCTAACAGTTTCCAGATGGGAGTTTGAGGAGGGCACATATATCATTCAACAGAGGGGGAGGAGAGAGCAGAGAGAGAGAAAGGGAGCAGCGGGGGTCTGTCAAAAGCATTCTGCTCTACTGACGAGGGCATTTCCTGTCTGGATTTGGGAGGATTAAGTATTTGTGTGTGGGGGGGTGTTTGTATGGTTGGCATGTGGAGAGAGGAACAAAGTACAAGACATTTCGGGGGATTCTGTGCATGTTTGATGTGCGCAACCATGCTTGTAATGCTCATTTGGGGAACAGATTTTCAAAAGCAAAAAGTGATTTAGCGTCAGGCTTTCTACATTTCCAAGGAAAACTTTGTGTTGCCAGATTGTGTTTCAAGTCGTTGCTCTCTGAGGGTTCTTGTTTTGTCAAGTTGGGTCAATTATGTTTCAAGCTGGAAGTTTCACAATATGCTTCGTAAAACAGACAAACACAGTTAAAAATAGATGAGAAATTTTTAAAATAAAATACCATGCAATCATTACGAGTCCTGGGAGCCACAAAAACACTAAAAGGAGCTTCATTGTTCAGTTCATTTCTTTGTTTTCAGTCTGGAGGTGTTTTTTTTTTTTTTACACTAGAGCTGGTGACATGGGACTGCCACACAAAGCTCTGTTCACAGCTCTTTTGTGTGTGTGTGTGTGTGTGTGTGTGTGTGTGAGTGTGTGTGTGTGTGTGTTTGTTCCATCTACACTTTCAGTTTTCTGAAGTTATTTCTTCAGTTCTCACGTTCACTTATCACTTAGGTTTTTGATTCCAGTTAGATTTCAGCAATGATGAAGTGAACAAACGTCCTTTTCAGTGTTCATTCGTAACAGTTTTTATTAGACCCTACAAAAATTTTAGGTGTCTGGCAAGCTGGTGCACTTAAAGTTTGACAATGCTGCTTCCAATTTGAATGAAGGTCACATTTCTGTGCACAAATTAGATTTGTGGTAAACTTTGGCCTCTGGGTAACTTTCTGCAAAAGTTATGGCAAACTATTGATTTTTAATTCTATTATTTGCTGCAGGTTTGCAAGAAGGCTTGCTGTTAACACCAAGTTTGGCGTAAATTCACGTCGTATGTCCTTCTGGCAAATTTTGCTGTGAGGCTAAGCCTCTTAGTATTCAAAAATTATCCATCCATCCATCCATTATCTATACACACTTAATCCTTCGGAGGATCACGGGGGGGTCGGGGTCTACCCCAGCTGACACTGGGTGAGAGGCGGGGTACACCCTGGACAGGTTGCCAGTCCATTGCAGCGGCCAACACGAAGACATAGACAACCATACATGCTCAGATTCACAGTTTAGATTCAGTATTTAACCCTCCATGTGTGTCTTTGGACTGTGGGAGGAAACCCATGCAGGCACATGGAGAACGCCCAACCAGCAGGTTCAAACCCACAACCTCCTTGTTGTGAAGCGACACTGCAAACTACTGCACCGCTATACAGCACATTAACTGTGGTAAATTAATAAACAGCTACTGTGGAAAACTATGAACAATGCCACTATTGTCAGAAATGCTATTTAGTTATTAAACTGACATGTCACTATTGGCAAACTGATTTCCAGAACATTCGTAGAAGCTTGGCACTACAATCATCATCAGTTTTGTCGTTATTGCCAGAATGCTGCTGACAGTTTGTGGCCAAGTCTGGCAAACTTATGACAACACTTTTGGCAAGCCAATATCATTGCTGCAATTCGGCCACAAGTTGGCCACAAATCTGTTGCAAACAATCTGCTTTCGTAAGGATGCTCAGTGGAGTGGAGCGTTGGGCTGAATGCTAACATGTTGATGGTATAGTCATAGACTGTCTGTTCAAGATGGACAGAGCCACCCTGACATCGCCTACTGGTTTGTGGACAGCTGTTTTGAAGCCTCAAGATTGCTACTTCCTGGTTGCCATCTAAAAGGTTTTATGGAGCCATATTTAAAAGAGGGAGCAGAATTGATTGTGAATCTGAAGACACTCTGTCCATCCACCGACAGCTTCATGTGAATCACATGATCGCTCCTGAGCAGACATGTTTATCAAACCAGCCATGTTCCCAAGTATTATGGTTTTTTTGCTTTTTAATTATCAAATTATTTTCAAATAGACTGCCACAATGGTAACCAGAAGAAGGGGATGCATCAAAAACATCACAGTGATTTCTGTAAAAATATTACTGACGTCACTTTTCATTATGATTTTTGAAAATGTTGGAGTCTGTGGGAGCTGTAGCTGTGAAGCCAGTGCCGAGCAACACTCAGTGACACTTCTGTGCTGGTTTTACTTTTCAGAAATGGTCACGGCATCCATCTCTTACATCAGTTGATGGGTACAGTATTTACCATGCTCACTATGCTAAGTAGCACTAAACACTAATGAGATTCAGCCTCAGATGTTCCATTTTAGTGCTAATTAGCAAATATTAGGACGTGGCGGTGAGCTCGGTAAATGCGACACCTTTTATAGCATCAATGCATTAGCGTACTGATGTGTCAGCTACTTTCATATAAACCAATCTATACACCTTTATCACAGCAGATTTTGAACTTTTCCACAAATGATGACAGCTCGGTGTCCCAGTAACTTCTGGCAGTGAAGCAGCAAACACAAACACAGAACCTGTCTATCAGATAAACTGAATATTGACCCAACGATGGTGATCTATTGGAAAACTGATCACCAAAGCTACAACACCTCATCCTGAGAGGGCTGTGCATGTAAATTTTACAATATTTCCTCCAATAGATTTCAAAATATCTCTTATAAAACCCTGAATGTGGACCTCTAGAGGAAAAGCCAGCCACCAAATTACAACCAAAGATCACCAAAGTGTTTGAAAGTGAGAGTTGTTTCAACTATTCTTCAGTGTTCTGCTCTCTGGCCTGCAGCATATTTGGATTACAAACCTTGCGTCATTGAAAATTGTTTTCCATAAAGGTGTGGTGAGAAGTGCATGACATGACATGGTTAGCTGAACAGTTAGCCAAGTGTTTACCCCGTGCTCAGATTTCCTTCCTTTCTGCTCTGTTCCTTCATGCCACCCTCATACACTGTGTACGAGTGTGATTTGTAAACAGAAACTCCTAATCTGTTTATCATCATTGAGTAGATTTCCCAGATTTCCCAACTCATTCACTTGATGAATGGCGTCCGTTGAACTGCTGACTAAAACCTCTGCATCTGGCAGACACACACCATGTGACTGAATGACATGACGATCATTTGACCTGTGTAAATACAGAAAAAAACTGTTGATTCAACACATGTGGCGTAATATTTGACTAAAACATCCCGGCAGCCCTTTTATTCATAGGTCATACTTTCCTAATAGGTTCTCTAGAAAGAACTATGCAAATTTAGCCGTGAAATTTTCTTAAAACAACGGCACCATTTGAACTCAAGCATTACTACAACCCAAATATATCATTAGTGGCTCATTTATCATCAGGAACTTTGGTCATAGCTCAGCTTTATGCTTGCCTGGGGACAAATCTTTAACAAATATTGTTGCTTCTTTACCTGACTAAAAGACTGAGCTTGATATTAATTCAAAATCAATAAGAATCCTTCCCAGATGTATCGTATCTCTTCTAGCAAATTATGAAAAACTATGGAAAGTGTAACATTACCAACACTGATAAACAAGAAAGTTTTCTTACTTCCTACTTTAATAACTGAAAGTTTTAGGTTTCATGTAGATTCAGGAAAATGATAAAGGTGAGACCCAGGATTGGCTGAATCCTGTCCATCTGCAAATATCTAAGCAGTTACAGTCTCACAAGTGAGCAAAATCATCAAGTGTAGCTTAACACCAAGCAGAAAAACATTGTTTCACTGAACTCTACTAGTTGGAAAGCTGAACCCTGTTTACCTCTCAGCCTTGATGTCATGATGTGCCTTTTTTTTAAATTATGCCAACATGTCTCCTTGCTTCCCTCATGTCCTCATGTTGTAGCTCCTCCCTGCAAGGATGTGAGAGGTAGGATACACCTGTGTTTCCTTGCTCCTCCAGAACCCTCCTCTCTGCTCTCTCTAGTTTAAGTTTAAAGAATCCATATTATGTTTAAGTTTCCCTTTCCTTCATTGTGTGATTTTGCTGCTTCTTAGTGCATGTTGACATATGCAAAAAGAATTATTCTCTCACACAGAAGTCCAGGTTTGTGTTACTTTTCTATGTCAACATGTAACACATTTGCGTAGCAGCTAGTTTGCTCCTGAACAAAAAGTGAGCAGCTTATTCGCAGTTTGCCACTTTATTTTTCTATTGCTATGGCTACATCGCTCTGCCTTCACATAACCGATGCTGCCAAAGCGTTTATCGCACCAGCCGACCAATCAGAGCAGACTGCGGACCAGGTTTTTCAGCACAGGGCCTTAAAAAGATAGGAGCTGAAACAGCATTTCAGACAGAGGCGCTGCAGCAATGTACAGTAGGAGAGGAATAATGTGTTTAATTTTTATATAAAGTTTAAATGTATTCAATTTGGGCTCGTTAAAGAGAACTGAGCCATGGCAGTTTAACTTATACGGGTTAATGCCAAGAGACAGGACTTCTTGATACTTTTGTTCAGGAATGATTCCAAATAGTGGACATCCACGAGAATTTGAAAGCTAGTTTGGGGAAAATAACAGAGCATCCATCATCCATCCATCCATCATCTATACACCGCTTAATCCTCACTGGGGTCGTGGGGGGCTGGAGTCTATCCCAGCTGACTCAGGGTGAAGGCAGGGGACACCCTGGACAGGTCACCAGTCTATCACAGGGCTACACTTAGAGACAGACAACCAAGCACACTCACATTCACACCTACGGACAATTTAGAATCACCAATTAACCTCAACATGTTTTTGGACTGTGTAGGAGGAAGCCGGAGAACCCGGAGAGAACCCACGCTGCACGGGGAGAACATGCAAACTCCACGCAGACAGATGCGAACCGGCGACCGTCTATCTGTGAGGCAATGATGCTAACCACTGCTCCACTGTGCAGCCCATATAGAGCATCAAACATGCACTTTTTTTTTTTTTAGGAGTTACTGAAATACATGTTGAGTTTGGGTAAAATGTGATAAATGAGTGAATGGTGGGAAAACAGTTTAGCAGAAAACTTCTACATTACTGTTATTATGTCCGTAGAGATCGCCGATAACTTCATCACACATACTTTCATAAACGTTCGCATGGTGGCACTATCAGCACCAGTAGCTAGCAACTTTCTTTTTTCCAAACTTTACCCAAAATTGAAATCTAAAAGAAACAGGCAGTAAAATGGAGCCGAAACAACCACGACACTCCAGTAAACGGGGTGAAACTAAATGATCTCAGCAGGCATTTGCACGTTTAATCAGCAAAACAAGGGCCTGTCCTCTGTTGTCTCTTTGCTGCAGAACAGGGCAGGTGTGCAGGTGTCAGGTAACTAGACTCCACCCGCCTCCTTTCACACACACACAGCAGATAGGACAGGACAGGACAGGCTGACTCACACCAGGAGCAGCCACACCTGGTTTACTGGTTCCAGGGTTTATCGCCTTATTACTGAAATAGCTGCACATTACTCACAGTGTTTAGGTAAATGTTATGCTTTCATCCTGTAACTCAGATGCATTCAGAGGTATTAACACCTGTGCTCAGGTAGCTGTTATTTTGGGGAGGCGGTTCAGCAGGATTGACTGCATATCCTTGGTATTGTTTCTGGGAGTTAGTACGACCTGAGGAGGAGTGTACATGACATAATTAGACAGGAATACACAAAGTGGAGGGTTTAGAGGCAGCTGATTGTGGTGTTTTCGTGGTACATCTTTGACATGTGCTGTGGAGCAGCATTTAGGTCATCATGTGGAGAGGTTAAAATGAACAGAACGTGTAATTTTCTGCGTTTATGGGGGCTGTAATTCACGATATTCTGCTCAAATTTAGATTTATTGCTTCACTTTATATCTCAATTTTTTTTTTCATTTTGGCCCTAAGAGTTTGGCTGCCTATGTAGGCCAGTGAGACACAAACACACAGAAAGAGTTAAAGGACGCGCACTGGGGATCTCCACCCACGCCGCGTCACCGTCGACCTTTCGCAGGTGTCACATTTAGTTTGTTTCGTTCTCGGTGGAAACAAGGTGATTCCCACAGACACACTCAAGAGTCCTGCAGTGCCTCATTTCCCGGATCCGGCGTTTTCCGAGCTTCCGTGGAAAGTTTCGAAAGTTTTTTTTCTGTGGGAGGGAGAGAAGGGGATAGAAGGAGGGGGAGCTCTGTGCGCCACGGCGGCTCCGCTCGGCTCCGATCAGTCCGGCTCTGCGCTCCGGGATGTCGGCCGTCAAGGCTCTGCAGCAGTGGTGCCGGGTCCAGTGTGAAGGATACCGGGATGTGTCCATCACCAACATGACCACGTCCTTCAGGGACGGCCTGGCTTTCTGCGCCCTCATCCACAAGCACAGATCCGATCTCATGTAAGTAGCGATGAAACTGGAAGACTACATGGGCAACAAAAGACTAACAACAGGCTCGTTTTATGAAGTTACACAAGTCAGTCAGTGCTGTGTGAAGCCTGGCGTTTAACCAATGACAGATCACTGCGTTTAGCCCGCTTTCAGCTTTATTGTAGGCTTCAGCAGTTTTATTTATGACAGAGAACAAGCCTGAGCTCCATGGGTCTGAAGGAAAAACAGGAGAAGGAGCTCAGCTGTGGAGTTTAGGGACTGAAGGGGCCAACATGCAGCCACCCTGCCCCCCAAAGTGGTCTGCAGAGAGGACCTCTTACCATTCTGGGATGTTTAACTTTGTATGCAATACATGTAGGCTGGATTTGACTCTTCTGGGCTGCAGGTCATGATCTAAATCAAACAATTACATAATAAAACACTTTTAATTTGACCATATTTGAAACTGAAAGCAAAAACCATCCATGGCAAAGATCAACAGGTGTGTAGCCTATGGAAGCAAATTTCTAGAATTGAACCTTACAACAGCAAAATTAAAACTTTGGAATATTTTACTTTGAAAAGCATCTATCTAAAGTGAAACAGTGAGTTTCAGTTTGACAGTCTTGGAGATGGTGGACGGATGGCCCAGAGGAGTTCTCCCGAGGAGTTCTTTTCTTGACATTTCCTTGATGAGCCGGCAACATCTCTGCAGGGTTCATCAGCCCCAAAAGTGCCGTCCCAACCTGTCACAAGGCCTTTTTATCCAGAGCCGTGCCTGCTGCCTGTGAAGCTGCCTCTATAGGCTTTTGCAAGTTCCTTCCTCTGATCTCCAAACCTCGAAGCAGTCTGTTGGTAGAAGTCGCCATAAATCCTCCGCATCCCACCTCCACAGAGTCGACTCCAGCTGCAGAACAGTGCTTCAGCAGCCAACTCTGCATAGTTTCATGTGCTCAGTCACTAACTCTTTGCTGGGTAGGGTGAGCTCAATGAGATCTACGTTGTCTTAGTCTCTGGGGAAAAGTGTTGCCAGCCATCATCCTGCAGTCTGTGATCAGGTGCAGCGGGCCCCATTCTGGTGACTCTGGTGATGAGGAGACGTCCATGCACGTGGGAGCTGGGAATTAGTGGCACGCTCAAATGTTAAGTCGAGGTTCTTTAGGACATTTGTAGCTTCCTTGGTGAGGCTGAGCTTTTATCCATGTGTTTGAAGAAGGCTGACAGGTGTAGCAAAGGAGACCTTGGTTCCTCTCTATACTACTGATGAAGACCGACTGGTGTGGGACGGAGTAAAAACTAAGGATTGCTTAGACCAGATCTGAATGTTTAAGTTGCTTCAACACCTAAATTCAAGCTTCAAGCGTAAACATCAAAGATACCAAAGCTGAGCCATGGAGCCGGAACATAGTTGATCATTGTTTGCTTCCTTAGTTGCTGCTCATGTTGCATATTTATTGAAATAAATTAGTTTCCAACTATGTAAAATAAAAATTTAACAGCTTTAAAAGCAAAAAGTTAAGATGTCATAGACTTAGGTTAGGGAATGTGTAGTCGTTTGCAAAGTTGTTCAACAAACCTGCTATTTTGAGGATCTCATCCAGTTTAGGGTTGCAGCTAACAAATACTTTAGTTAATAATCATCTCATTTTGGATTATATAATTGATGGATAAAAAAAAAGTTTCTAAAGCTCAAGGTGACGTCTTCATACGTTGGTTTCGTCTGACAAACAATCCAAAACTCAGATATTCAGTCTATATTAATAAAACTAGCTATAATTCTTGCAGCATGTTGTCATGTTTAAAAGCAGGAACCGGTGTTTGTTTGCTGATATACTGACTCAGCTCCGTACAGTTTGTCTACATGTGTCACATCCTTCTGACGCTGCAGCCAGAAAAAGATATCAGCCGTTTATCTCTTATCGCTGAGTTTCTTCTGGAAAGAAAAGGGGAAAAGATCAACTCTTTGTTTTTTTCCAGGATGTTTTTTTTTTGATAACTACTAAGACATTTCCATCAGGGAACAATGGGTAACACTTTGTCTTGAACACCAAAAAGTCTGAGTAAGATCTGTCCATGTAAGGCCTTGGTTTCACTTTTCAGATGCTCCAAAGCCGTTACTCATCATCTTTAACTGAGCTTTGGACAGCTTCACACAGAGACGCCTGGTGTTGTTCCAGAGAGGTCATTAGACAGACACTGCTTTCCCTTCCAGAAGAGACACAGCTGCTCCGACTCTGTGCGTTCCAGTTTTTACCCTCAGCCAGACCAGCATGTGCGGCGGCACATTTCATGTTTACATGGGCTGAAGCACTAAACACTGGTTAAAAGGCTTTGCTCCAGTCTGCTCAATATAGACACTGTGATGAATGCAGGCTGAGCTTTGTGTTAGTCTCAGTTTTAGCTGATCGGTCACACTGTCACCGTCGTGATGAATGCTGCAGTGAGGACGTTATGCATGACGAAACTACTCATGTTCAGTCTGTACTGCCTGTAAACAGATGAAAGCAGAAGGAAGTTGGATCACATGTGTTTTGTTAATCATGTTTTTCCTGCTCTGTTGCAGCAATTTTGATTCTCTGAAGAAGGAAAATGTCTACGAGAACAACAAGCTGGTGAGATGTGTTTACGTTGTGCATTTTGACCTCCGAATGTTTTTAATTTGTTTTGTTTGACAAACTCTGATTTCCTGAACACACACAGTAGCTCTCTTAATGCTGATCCTCCATCCTTCTTTTGGCTCCACAGATGGCAGTGTTTGGTTTGCAATATTGCAACAGATATTTGATTGATCGCCATGAAATTTTGAACAGATATCCGTGTTTCAGAGATGATGAATCCTACAATGTTAAAGGTCCAGTGTTTAGGATTTAAGACGTTCTATCTATTGGTGTATTATCACATGAATTGCTGTGTTTTCGTGAGCTTAGAACAAGTCCTGCATTTATACAGAGGAAACAGATCCCCTTCCACCAAGTCCATCATGTTGCACTGCTCTGTTTCTACAGTAGCTCAGAATGAAGAAACAAAACTGTGGTTTGACTCGGGGCCTTTTACATTTGTCTCATTTCCAACATCCTCCAAAGTTTCTTCTACATTCTAGGAAGAGGAGGATGAGGTGAGAAGTACTCAGTCGGGTTCAATCTGCAACCTCACCATGAGATGCATCTGAATCCGACACATCTTTACATCACCAGCACATTTAGATTTCATTCATAAGAACAAACTGGAACAACTTTAGCTGATTCCTTCTTTATCCAACACTTTGATTTTGACCAAACACCTGGAAATCCAATGACATTTCCTTCAGTTTCAGCTGTACTTTGTGTTTATCGCTTACTTGCTAGCATGCTAACAGGCCTACGTACGGCCTCACATGGCAGTAGATTAATCATGCTTGCGTAAGTGATTTATCTCACCTACATCTGAACTGAAAATAACCTTAATGTTTGTAGCTGATTAATCATAGTTGATAAGAAAATAAATCACTCGGCCACTGACTAATAATTTTCGATACCTTTGCCGATACAATCCCCAGTTTCAGTGTTGATATCGAAGCACAGTTGCCACAGTTAAACACGATTTAGCCTCTTTATCATCAACATACTTCACACTGCTCAGTGCATTAGTGCCAAACTATCCTAACTAGATACGCCCAGCTGAAGATAATGTAGTCTAATGCAGCTCTACAACAATTCTGACCTTCATGAATTAAAATCAGCAGTTTTAGAGGTGCTCATTCAACTGTGTGGTCGTTGTGGAGGCTGCAGTTTGTGGTGCTGTTGAACTGTACTGCATTACTCAGTGCATTCATGTGGTGTTGGAATAATTTTGAAAAAAAAATTAGATTCAGACTGGGAAAATTAATGTGAGAGCCCGCTTAATGCAAAACAACAACTCAGAAAGTTGGTGAAAAAATTTAGTTTCATGATTGCCAGATCGTAGACATCCTACGCAGAAACTAGCAGGCAAAAGTAAATGTTGGGTTGATGGTAAAAAAATCTTGATCAGTGGTGTAAATTTCCATATTGCATATAATTTTTTGCTAACCTTTCATTTGTAATACGGTATTCAGTTGTAACTGTTGCTGTCCACAGGATTAGTTAGAAAGGTAGTAGCCCTTTGATAGAAGTCAGGTACAGCAATGATGTAGTGAAGTTGGCTATTTACATGCTGTTTAAACATTTTGAGCTATAAAATCTTTTTTGTAGTGTCCGCGTTGTTTCCACATTGCATTCCCATCAAGGTTGGAAGAACAACTTCCCAACTTAGGGGAAAATGGGGCCATCTGAAGAGAAAGTATGCAAACCCTAAGTGGTGTTCCTGTTATTTTGTCTACCCCTTTTATATGAATGAGGGTAGTCTAGGTAATAGAAATTAAAGGGATTTAGTTCAATTAAAAACATTCTCAGTCTTGACCTTGGACTTAATAGATTCATCTGAAATCCACTGACTAGCACCCACATCTAAACACAGATGCTGATGAAACCTATGAGGTGCTCCAGAAAAGCTAATTAATGGAGTTTGTCTTAAAGTTGTTCTGGTAAATGGAAACACTTTTGGTTTTCTAGTGGTGGGCAGATAAAACAAGCAAACTGAAGTTGTCAACTTCTGAGTGAATTTAAAAGAGTAAATAAGGAATAAGTTGATTAAAAAAATGATCATCAGCGTTGACATAACGTGAAACAGCGTAACGAGGTGTTTTCCAAATCAAAAAGCATTTAGGTTCAGTATTAGCTGGGAGGAGAACGTATGACCAAACAGACTGTTTCAATATGGGTGCTTTGATTTTGGCTGCTTTCTTGCATTATTTACTTTCATTTTCTCCCTAAAACCTCATTACTAGACTCTGAACTGTGGGACTGACGAATATCTCAAATGTCTGCTATTTAAAGTTAAACAGAATAAAAGCTAAAATTGTCAATAATTGTGTGACATTACGTGAAATTTCACATGAAAGAAAGTTACAACATCTTAGTTGTTCAAATAGCCGAACACCATATGTGACTGAAGTGCCACAGGGCACAGCAAGTAAACAGTGTTTTTATGGCTTCCTTCATCATCTGGTAACTGATTAAGATTTGTTCCTGGTGCTCTTTGGCCTGCCTCTGCTTGTTGTTATTTTTTCTTCCTTGGAAGTGGTGAATGTGAGTGTAGTTTGGAAATTCCTGACTTACGACTCACTATTAATGTCGGTACATGCGGTGTAGATGTAACAAGTGCTCAAAGAGATTTGAATGTAAGATATAAAATATGAAGACAAACAGCTAAACTTTCTTTTATAAAGGAAAAACAATGCTTATATTCATGTATTCCAAAACAACTATATAAGAAAAAGTATGTATGTACGACAATTACATCACATTTATCTGCACTGTTGCTCAGGATGTCAAAACAGTGGCCAGAAGTGAAAGAAAAACTACGTCAATGTCCAAAGACGATCCAGTGTAAATACAGCTGGTATTATTCTTTAACCTGGAATGTTTCTGGTATGATGTAGAACAAGTCTTTCACGGTGGTCTCACAAAGTCAGACATTCTGCTCTCATTTGATTTGTTGGAGCGTTGGGCTTTTCTAAATAAAACAGAATTTTTAAAAAATGTTATTCTTTGTTGGATAAATTTGATTTTATTTGCAGGCGTTCAGTGTTGCAGAGGAGCAACTGGGAATTCCAGCGCTGTTGGATGCAGAGGACATGGTGGCTCTTAAGGTTCCAGACCGCCTCAGCATCCTGACGTATGTCTCGCAGTACTACAACTACTTCCATGGACGCTCCCCGAGTGAGTACCAGCATCTGTCTGTTTCTGCTTTTGTCCGTATGTCCTTGTCTCATCTGCATATCTGTGTGTCTGCACACAGTTGGAGGTATGGGAGGTATAAAGCGTCCAGCCGACGCTCCCACCGATGAGCCGTCTGGGAAGAAGAACCAGGCGGTGACGGCTAAGGTGTTCCCCTCTTCTAAGCCCGCCAGAGAGAACAGCCCTCCCCCCTCCTCCAACATCACAAGGCCCGCTCCTTCCCCAAAACAAACCCGAAGTACAACAAAGGTAAACGTCACCACCTGAATACTTCACGACACAGACAGCAATTCTAAAAATACAGTCTAAAAAAGTCTCGATTTTGTAATGTATTACTGACCAAGACTGTGGAAGTTTGTCAAGCCAAATACGTCAGAGATGACCTAAACAAACGGATGTGTCACTTTGTCTGTGTCAATAAATGAACAAATTGCTATTGCAAAATAAACAAAAGCACATGTTACAATGAATGAAGTTCCCCCCTCATCCCCTCTCTTCTCTTCTAGGATGTTCTGGTGGATAAATCCCACCAGGCCGGCACGCTGAGTAACAAATGTGTGTTCTGTAACAAGCATGTTCACCTGGTGCAGCGACATCTAGTGGACGGGAAGCTCTATCACAGGAGCTGTGCAAAGTAAGAACATCTTAGTGTGTTTAAGTTTAATCACAGCGACTCATCATATTCTGTGAAGCTTAGAGTCTGATATCACAGTACTGGTAGAGTTGACTTTGTAAATCCAGAAAGGTAACTGCAGTATTAACATATCATTAATGGATTATGATAATAGGATTACAGTATTCATTTGATTTATTTCATTTTAAATACTGAATTGATAATTGATTTTTAAAGGAGGTTTATATAATTTCATATGGACCCTTATATCCTTTATATCCAAGACATGGATTACACGACCAAAGCATGTTCTGGTTGCAGCTTTATTGCTCATTCGAGTTAAACTAGTGTAAAAAAACAAACAAGCAAAAAAAGCAGCATGATATATGATATAAAGGAAGAATAATCCAATAACATCACATGAATGTCACTAGAATTGAAAAGAGAAAAGAACCAGACGATGCCGTTACCACGAAGCGAGGCTACTTAGCTTTTAGCAGCACTAGTTAATCTGGTGTTTTTCAGATGATTTAATGCTGACATTATTTTTGGTGTAACAGACTCACTTTCTAAGATTGTGGACCATCATTTTTTAGTTACAAGAAACTGAAAAGTTGGTAAATTAGCTTTAGCTAAAGCTGTCCTACCAGCTATCAGTCTGTAGTCGGATATCAGTTGGTTGTTGTTTTTTTTAGGTGGAACCATAAACTTCATTTGGTAAACTAAACTGTTAAACATGTTATTTTTATGTCTTAACTACATTTTTAAACAACATCTTATTGCAGTGTTTTGGCTTTGCAGGACAGCGTAGCGACAAAGGAGGCGTATTCAAGCTTAAACAGCACCAACAGCAGCTCTGACAGGCCAATCTCTGAGCTCTGGACAGGAGTTCCTTCATTGCACCCTTTAATGTGTGTTGTCTTTTCTGTCTTTCAGGTCACTGTCACCTGCAAATGCACCTCTTTGGAGTTTACCCACAAACACCCCTGTTTCCAAATTCACTCCTCCACCAGACTCCAGTAAAACCAGTACACCTGCTCCAGCTCATACACCCTCCAGACTGGGACCGTCATGGCTGACAGACAAGCCCAGCTCTCCTCCCAGCGTCTCCAGCACTTTTTCTACTTCGTCTCCTTCCCGATCTGCATCAGGTCTCTCTCCCGCTGCTAAAGAAAGTCCGACAGCCGTGGTGTCCAAACCCGCAGCTTCTCATGACGTCACTACGACCACCTCCATCAGCAGCAGGCCCACTCCTACCCCTCGAACCTCCACCACTGCCGCCAAGACACACCAGTCCAAGCTCAAGTTCCTCCAGTCAGACAACACCACTAACAAGGAAGAGAAAAAGACCTCAAGCGTCAACATGGACATAAATAAAGGTCAGAGTGCGGGTGCTAAGACACAGGATGCCAAAGCAGGAAAGGCTGTTACTGTGGTTGTAAATGTTGGTGCCACTGGGAAAAAAGAGGTAAATGTGAGCTCGGATAAAGGCGGGGATAAAGCTAAAGCAAGTAATGTTGGTGGGAAGCTGAGTTCAAAACAAGAAGACAGTGAGAGCAACAAGGAAAAAGCATCAGCAGCGGCCTTCATCTCCAAGAAACTGGCTGAGGAGAACAACAATAACAACAGTAAGCCATCGTGGTCGACTGTAGCTCTGAAGAAAGTTGAAAAGTAAGTAGCCTTACCTCAGACACACATGATTACACTTGACTTCCTGCTTCGGCCTGACCTCTGCTGGTAAAGGATGGCATTAAACATGAGATCCTTGCTTCTACTCAGGCCTCAGGCTCCAGTGGAGACGCCTAAGAGGGAGACGGAGGGTGTCAGAGGGAGGGTGAGGCTGAAAGCAGATCGGTCAATCCTCGATGACTTGGGTTCTCTAGACCCGCCGAAACCTGCTCCCAGTCCGGCCAGCAAGGGTGGACTCAGAACCAGGACTCCAGATAGAGGAGAATCAAAGCCTTCCAGTACATCACCCAACACCTCAGGTTAAACTCACACTTCTGTGCATAACGTGGTTGAGCTGGTAGCCATGTTGGTATGCAGGGGTTCACTCAGGAATCGCTTTTTGTGAATAATGTAGTGAGTAGATGGCGACCTAAACAATAATCACACTCAGTACATACTGGATGTGGTGTTTGATGTGCGAAACAACACAAAGTCCGTCCGTCTTTTATCACCTAAAAAACTCAGGGAAACCCAGATATGTTTGTGACTGATGTGTTGTTACGTATGAGAAAGTGCTGGAGGTGCTGCTTTTTTGGAGGAGGTTATTGTCACAACACATACATTTACTGTATTTATACTATATTGTAAGATGGCGGATGGCGGCAGAAACCTAAAAAAAAAAAAAAACAGAACTAATGAGGTGCTGGAGCAATGACCAAAACTCTAATATGTGGAAAGCAAATTTTTCCATCGACTTAAATCTAAAATAAAATTCTACATGTTGTGATTTCACTTTGCCACTAAACAAACTGAATGACTGCTCAACCCTACTTTGTAATTCTCAAAGTGAAGCCTGCAGCTCACTTTTAAAACACAAGTCCTTGATCGCTTCCTTAGTCTATTTAAAATCAGGAAACTTGAGAAAATTAAATGTTTAGTGGGAAAAATATATGCAAACTGGTCGCACTTGATCATGGCACCCATTTATTCAGGTGAAAGCTGCTCTGTGCAGAGGCACCGATTATTTGTTTCTGTAGAATTCTGTGCGTGTTCTATTGATTTTTTGCTGAACTAACAACATTGTTTAAAATCACAGAGCATCCGCTTGGCAAAAAATTGTGAACAAAACAACATGAACTGATTTTACAAACGATCAGGAATGTGGAAGTTTATCAAACCAAAAGCAATCTAAATATAATTTATTGCCGTTCTGGGAAATTTACAAACACGTGGAATTTAGGTTTTTCCCAAAGCAAAGGGGAAAAGCAGGGATTGACTTGACCCAGTAACTGAGTGGTTAGGATACATACCACATGGGTACAGATGCCTGGCAGTGAGCTCCTAGATCAATTCCCGGATGGCCAAACCTTTGCTGCATGTCATTTTCCCTACTCTCTTTTCCCACATTTTACATCTCCCAAATAAAAACAAAAATACTACTTAAAAATGAAAAACTATCAAAGTTGTATCCAGCTGTTCTGATCTATCCATGATTGAAGGGCTTCACTGATGTCTTGCTGACACATCCATGTTAGTCCACCTAATGTAATACTTTTATCTCCCGGGTGCTTCATTAATCTGGTCATTGTAGGAATCTTTCAGCAGCTCTGTCTTTGAGCAGCATTTTTATTTATTTATCTCAGTTTTATTTAGTTTTGTGCCTTGTCTCTGTATGCTTTGTCTTTTGTTTTATTGTGAAACTCTTTGCGACATCCCATCTAATAGGTACGAGGAGGCTAAAGATACGACTGATCTTTATGTTGTTCTTCCCCATCATGTGTTTGACCTGCTTGTTGGTAGAAAGTAGCATCTCTGTATAAAACAGATAGGAACGAACACTGAATAGTAGGTGACACTGAAGGAGGAAGAACTGATTTAGTTTTTTTCTCCACAGCATCAGAAAATGAGTCTCCTGCAGACTGGAGGTCGATGCTCAAGCCTGTCTCCAAAGCATCCAAGTAAGACTTGTTTTGTTGACTTCATTTGTTCTGTTTTGTCACCATTTTATGTATCTGGGTAATTCCTCCACCTTTCTGCCTTCGAACCAGAAGGCAGAAAGGTGATTTGATAACGGCAGGGAGTATCTATACGTGGGTGGGCTTTCAACATATCGACATCATGAAGCATTAACTGTACGGGCTCTTTTTTTTTTTTTCTCCCTCCTGATGTCCTGTCCATCCATCCATCCTTTGATCCAGTCTTTCATCCATCTCCAAACATTCCTCCCACAGGAAGCCTGTACCTGCTGCTCCTCCAAATGGCTCAGCCATCATTTGTAGTCGGAGCTTTCAGTCTCTGCTCTTCCGCCACATGCATGCGATCCCCAAGTGGTGTCAGGACTGAGTAGAGTCCTCCGTGGTGCAACATATGCTCAGAGCCCAGAGTTCCTCTCCCCACATGACCTTTACTCTCGCTCTCATGAATCAAAACTAAGGAGTGCAGCAGGACGGAGAAGGGACTACCTGTACGAGCTGATAAACTGCCTCAAATTAAATCCTCTCTCTTTCTCTTTACCTGCTCATCCTTCATCCTTCCACAGACCTGCTGGTCCTTCACAGTCGTCCACTAAACCATGTCCTAATGGAGCTGGAAAGACTTCAGAGCTCTCTGTTGGGCCTTCATCGTCCTCCTCTCATCTTCCCACCCCAAGCATTTGTGTCACTCCAGCAGCATCAAAGGGTAAGAACGTGGACACCTGTGCTGTCATTTGGCTCTATTTAAATATAAATTGGACAAGCTCGTACACCGCCATCTCTTCAAAGTGCTGTTGTTCTACATGGACATGGATCTTCCAAAGAGTTTTCTGTGAATCCAACCCCTCTGGGTTTCATCCTTCTTTTTTGTTTTCAATGTTTTATCTCTTTGTTTTTCAGGAGTTCAAAATGGTCAGAAAGAACAACCTGCAAACGGTATCAAGTCAGAGCTGAAGCCTTCCAAGGTATTAAACCACAGACCGAAAATATGTTTGGTTTACCTTTTGTTTTAGTTTATTTTATTATCAAATGTATTTTTTGTTTAATAGAAACAAACACTTAGAAGATGACACCTTGCTCCAGTGCATGTCAATCATCCATGTACTGTATTGGTTACTGCTGCAGCTTCACTTTAAATCAGTTTGGCCGACAAACTATCCCAAAGTTACTTTGCTCATTCTAATTAGATGAAATTTAAGTGTGTGCTGAGACGAAAGAAAATAACAGTAAAGTTAGGAAAACTTTGATTTTATTTTATGTACTGATTGCTGGCAACAGACTAAACAAAAAGTAGTTCTTATTTTTGCTTTACACTCAGTTGAATGAATTTATTTTGCAATTTTTTTTGGTTGATATCTTCTATTCAGTTTGGTCTGCCCGTGTTTGTGTGTGTGTCATATCTTTAGACGAAGCCAGACTACATTCCCAAAGAGGACATCATAAAGGAGCTTAAGGACATTGAAGATAACTTGAACGAGCTGGAGAAGAGAGGAGTCGAGCTGGAGGTGAAGCTGCGCCGCAGCGAGGAAGGTGAGACAAACACATGTAATGTATGAGCCTCCTCTTCAGTTGGTGTGAAATACAAGGACGACTTCAAGGAAGGGGTGTATGTCGGATTAACTGTTTGTGTGTTTGTGTGTCAGAGGGTGACGATGACTCTCTCATGGATGAGCTCATGGTTGAGTGGTTCAACTTGATCAGGAACAAGCAGGTGGCCATACGCCGGGAGTCTGAACTGGTCTACGTGTGAGTACACACATGAACACACTTAGAAAAGGGGCATGCCACTATTTAGCGATTAGTGAAACAGACTTGTGGCCAGAAGGTTGACAGTTTGAATTCCCAGTGTCCTCCCTCCTCCGTCCCCCAGCAGGGCGTCCTGGAACAGGGCAGCTCACCCCCCACTGACTGTAGGGACCAAACAGAAGTGTGAAGCAGGATGCTGCTTAATAGAACACATACACCGATCAGTCACAACATTTAAACCACCTGCCTAATATTCTGTCAGTCCACCTCTTGGTGCCAAAAGAGCTCTGACCCGTCGAGGCCTGGACTCCACAAGTCCTCTAAAGATGTCCGGTGGTATTGACACCAAGACCTTAGCCACAGGTTTCTTAAGTCCTGGATGTTGTGAGGTAGGGCCTCCATGTATTGGATGTGTTTTCACCACAGGTGATTGGATTAAGATCTGTGGAGTTTGGGATTGAGTCAAAGAGTTGACTTGATCTCCCATGTCCACATTCACGGATTCACAAAATGAAGCACATTTGCATCAAGTCTGTGAGGGCTTAGGGTTGTCAAACTTTCAAATCATCAAACGCATGAGAACTCTAGACTGACGTTTTGAGCACTTTGTCTACACTTTCCAGAAGTCTGCATTTCGGCAGACTTTACCAGGAGGAATTTATCCACAGTTCATGGCATTGTGATGTTAAACACAAAGTTACCAGGTGAAGCCCTGAAACGTGTGAGAAAAAGGGTGAACAAACAAGCATGGAATTAGCAACCAATCCCAATGTTACAAGAAAACAATAACTTATGTATCTATAAGCACATACTGTATCTCACTGCTGATTTACAGCCAAAACTCTGTGCAGTTGTTTGTCCTATGATGGTATGAAGATGAATTCCAAATATGCTTTGAATAAAGTAAGAAATGGAAAGTAAAAAGTACCAAACCATGTGCTGACGTCATCAAGGTTACATGATATGTCACAAAGCGCTGTCCCATTCTATCTCATTTCAAATCCTTGCAGCCTCTCACACTTAATCACTAACCAGGTGAAGTCCGGTGAGTCTGTGAAGAGGTTTAAGTTTGGGACTTGGTCTTTTGTCATGTTCCTCAAACTATTTTTGAAGACTTTTTGCAGTGAGGCAGAGAGCTGAGGGATTACCCTTATCATGAAAGGGTATATGTCTGCAACAATGTTTAGGTAGATGCCTACGTAAATAGTGAATGTTCTGCACTTACATGGCTCCTTTGTATCTTAGTGGTACTCAAAGCGCTTTACAGTGTGTTTCTCATTTGTCCACTCACACACATATTCATACACCAATGGTGACAGAGTTGCTATGTTTGGTGCTACCTGCCATAGGGAGCAACTTCAGGTTCAAGGACACAGCCACAGCTGCCCTAGGCACCTACACTCAGGTGTCAAAGTAGCATCCACATGAATGCAGCACCCAAGGTTTCCCAGCAGAACGTTACCCAGAGCATCACACTGCCTCTGCCAGCTTGCATTCTTCCCATACGGCATCCTGCTGCCATCTTATTCCCAGGTAAATGTCCGTCACGCCACCAGCCATCCATATGATGTAAAAGAAAGCATTATTTGTCAGACCAGGCTTCCTCCTTCCTCCATTCCTTCACGGTCCAGTTCTGATGCTCACGTGATGATTTTAGGTGCTTCTAGCAGAGGTCAGCATGGACACTCTGAGCAGTCTGCAGCTCCACAGCTCCATACACGGCAAGCTGTGATGCACCGTATGTTCTGAGTCCTCTCTATCGTGGCCAGCGTTTAGGTTTTCAGTCATTTGTGCTACACTAGCTAATTTATGGGATCGGACCACACAGGCCAGCCTTCCCTCCCTGTGCATAACAGTGAGCTCTGGACACCCGCGATCCTGTTGCCAGTTCACTGGTTGTCCTCCCTTGGACCACTTTCGGAAGGTACTAATCGCTGCATACTGGGAACACCCCACAACACCTGCCATTTTGGAGATGCCCTGGCTCGGTTGTATAACCATCATAATTTTGCCCTTCGCTCAGGTCCTCATGCTGCCCATTTGTCCTGTTCCCAACACGTCCACTTCAAGAACTGACTGTTTTCGGTTTTAATGTTACGACTGATAGATGTACACTGCATCTATTCCTTTGATAACTAAATGCTAAAGACGCTCCGCTATCAGGCATTTTTTTTGGATGGCTTATGGTGTCTTGAGTTTGAAACTGATTTAATCGATGTTTTAATTTTGAAAATAGGATAGTGACAAACCTACAGAGAGTTATAACTCACCTCACACCAGTGTTTTGGCGTCTTTTACCTCATTGTTTTGGTTTTATAGCGTACAACTGTTTTGAAATGTTTTCCAGTCTCATAAAATAGTTCTCTGCTGCACACAGCTAAGAGACAAATTTAGCAAAGACCCTGTGAACATGGTGGAGTATTTAACAGTCAAGGAGTCAGACAACATACTCAGGAGTTGGTAGAGATCTAAAAAGACGTAGCGGGAGAGTAAAGAAACACAACTTCAAATGAACTTATAATGCCATATTAACTTTATAAGGTGACATCCAGCTTGTCAGTGACAGTCTTGTCTTTAAAGTTTGTTTCTTCTGCCCCAGAGTCCCCAAAAACGTATTAGTTCAGGTGAAAAAGTTTGATGATGCTAATGCTGTTACAACCTATAGGAGCAAACGACATCAGATTTTGTAAAATTACACATAGCAGCCGTCATGTCAATGAAATTTGACTGTATTTGCACCTTCTGATTAATATGAGCAACAGTGTGGAATATCACAAGTGTGTTTTTCTGCAGTAACACATATTTTCTGTTTTCCATTATGTGCAGTGGAAGAACTCAGGACCTGGAGGAACAGCAGCCCAGTGTTGAGCAGGAGCTCAGGAGACTGATGGAGAAACCAGGTGAGGACTTCAGATGAACAAACTCAACACAACAGAGACGGAGGTCCTGGTCTGAGACTAAAATCTGTTTTTTGTGTACAGAACATCTGAAAACAGCCTGGGACAAAAAGAAAGAAAAGCAGCTGATGGACAAACTGGTGGAGATTGTCAACGACAGAAACGCTATTATAGACGGCCTGGACGAGGACAGACTCAGGTGAGTGTTTGGACAGGCAACATGAGGGAGCGTGTAGTTTAGAAGGTTATGGTTTTAGGATGATTAGATCCATCCTGGGTACAACATGGAGTTTTTTTGACGCACAGTCAGTTTTCAGACATAAACTGTGGTTACATAGAACCTGATATTCTGCTAATAATCTGAAAAACAGCTCCATCAGAACACAGATGCCTCATGTAACCACTTCTGTTGGAACAGACTTGCCCGACCAGCCAGATTGAGAGCGGTGGAAACAGCTTTAATAATCTGCTCAGTGTTAAAACATTAACACCAAAGGTCCACCTGCACTCCTCCACTGTTTGAAGAATGCAGGAGGATTATGTTCTGCTGAGATTATTGTTTAATCAGAAAGAGCAGCAGAAATGCATAAGTTAATACGTGTTCTCCGTAAAGTTGAAACAAAACCTTCTTCCCAGCAGATTAGTCAATTCATTGCAAACAGAACCACTTAACACACGTCAAAAATGTCATGTTCTGCTTCGGGGCATGTAAATACACGTCTTATTGGACAGTTTTATTTAGCATCCATGTGGACAGTCAAGTTTAATCTCCAGTCAGAATGATTTCAATCATGTTAAGGAAGTATTATCTATCTTTCTGCAGACAGGGATTCTAAACCAAGACGTATTTAAAAGCAAAGCAATAAAGTCGGTCCCATGATTCTTTGGAACAAGTGGTCGTGTTTCACTCAAAGTAAAAATTCCCAAAACAAGAAGTGAAGAATGCTGCAGTGCAGGTTCTACTGAGCGCTGACAGGAAAACCGCCTCGGGTCTGATGACTGTGGGTTGCAGACTTCATATAGTCATCGACTGCAAAAGATTTAGGTCCACATATGATGTTAACAAAGTCTATTTTAATTTGCCAAATACAAATGTTTCGAAGAAGGTTATAGTTCTTGCACTCTTAACTGACCTCACAGTGATGCTGAAACTAACATTTGATGATCAATACAGTTAATTATTACTAAAATTCTTTATGTTGTGTATTAAGCAAAAATGTGAAGTATTCCCTTCCCAGTCCCTTTTTTGTCATTGTTTGATACCTTTAAGTCAGACAGCTGGTCAGACAAATCAAATGATTTTAAGCTGTCTCTGTTGAAGATTGTGATGAGCACTTTTCAGTTTATTCTGACATTTTATTGACTAACATCTAATCAGTTCCTACGAGAAACAGGATAATAAAATCTGTAAGGCTTTATCTCACTGTCAGTTGTTTCTTTGGTTGAGTGTGCCACGCTCACTGACTCCTACAGTTCTCACAGAAGGCATAAATATACAACATAGAGTAAATGCTGACAAGTGTACGGACTGGAGTTAATCTGGGTTTGCTTTTTGTGCGTTCTCTTTTTCTCAGGGAGGAAGAGGAGGACGAGCAGCTAAACAAGATGATGATGAATTTCAGTGAGTGTCTCCACCACCTCCACAGGCCACCTGCCCCCCTCTCCGCTCTGTTCATTAGTTATCACAACCTCAGTGTCACTACAACTTAGTTGGCTTATAAATTATCCAATTGAGGATTTCCATCATGGACACCTCTAATTGAAGTAGATAGAATTCTCATTGTGGTTTATGGAAGTGTGTGTGTGTGTGTGTGTGTCTGTGTGTCTGTGTGTGTGCGTGCGATGCATTTTTTAAGGGTGCCACTGGGCGATGTTTTCTGCTAATGGAAAAAGCATCAAACAAAACGCTCCCCCTCTTTTTGTCAGCAGCGTTCCTATTAGACAAATGGATAATGTAGACGGTTAATTTGACCCTCTGATAGCGCCGAGTCAAAGCCGCCTTCATTTGCAATTCATGACCGGGAAAGCAGGGCTGAAATTGAGGAGATTTATTGAACTTCAGTGAAAGGTCATTATGTTACAGCGAATGAATGCCGACCGTGGGCTAAAGACTAGCCATTTCATTTTAATGTATTCATAAAGTTAATGCCAAAGTTTCACAGTTCATTCTCACTTTGAGTACAGTCATGTGTTGGTTTACACACATGTTGTGTCACATGCATTACGGATGCTGCACCATATATCTGCTCTTAACACCATCGCTGCTTTGTTTTGATTGGTTAACAGGCGTCAGGGCATTTCAAACACATGACGGGATTGGGTTGCAGCAGCTATTTATACATTTATTACTGTCTATCTTAAAGTTCTCAGGGAGTCCTAGCTAGTGTTTTAAATCATGATTCGGTAAACTAGTGTCTACCATCAAAACTGAACTTAAAGCATCTATATTATGCACATTTTTCAGGTTTATATGTTTATATTTGGGGCCTGCTAGACTATGCTTCCATGCTTTAATGTGAAAAAACCTGCTTCATTTTTGGTTGTTTTTTTTTTAGGGCCCCCCAAGTCTGCTCTGATTGGTCAGCAGATGTTGGTTATGTGTCATAAACCCACATCTGTATACCTCTAGCGGAACTCAAGTGGGGAAATAACGGCGGATTGCGAAGGAGCTGCTCAGTCTTTAAGAGTTTGGCCGAACTAGCTGCTCGGCAGGAGTCAAACAAATATTTACCCAGTGATGAAGGGTCAACTGATGTGTTTTTTTTCATGGCTGAGTCCAATCCTGATTATTAGTCATCAAGGAGGCTGATAATTTGAAATTGGAACCAGTATAAATATATATTTGCAGCAACACAACACAAAATGTAGTTGAAATGCCTTTGTTCATTGATATTTTACATATATTTCCTTAAAACAGAACTTCTCCTCCATTTGTTCTTGTGATGTTAGCAGGTTTTTACTTGACATGTAACCAGTCAGATAGTGCTGTGGATGCTCAAGACCACAGAGGTGTGACCACACACAGAGAGAGGCAGCCGCATCAGAGTCAGTGTGGCACATTTTGAAATGTATTTAGAGGTAATGGGGAAAACCAGTAGTACTATTTAGAAAAATGCTGAATACTGAATCCAATAGTTTGCCAGATAAACAGTCGACCCCTAAAAGTGACTTAAAGTAGCCTGAAACAAGGAGTTCCAGCACTATTCTGTGGGAGACAAAAACTTCTGTACCTTTGCAGACCTTTTACACGCATCAAAAACGATCGAGCACATTTATGAAATGTGAAAAGCTTAATATGGGCTTTTAGGACATGTCTCAATGAGTAAAGTAATCAAGAGCCGTCAGCTTGTAAACAAAAAGCCGCCGTCATTAGCTCGAAGCACTTCCAATGTTAACATTTTTGTAGAGGAAAATCTAGTTCCTTTCTAAGTTTACAGCTGGTATCACTTTGTTATATTTACCTACATGGAGAAACATGTTTTTATCTCTCTCTGGCAGACATCAAAAAGGACAAACCAAAGAAAAAGTCTCCGATGTCCAAACTCTTCGGCTGGGGAGGCAAGAAGGAAGGATGATGCTCGGCGAAACACACGCCGCCGTTTCTTGTCTTTGATGTTTCTGCTGCTTAACGTCAGTGTGCTCAGCCTGTGATTCATGGGATAACATGGGTGCTGCTTGTACATGTGTGGTCTGTCATCCTCAGCACTTCTTGAAAAATGCCCTTCCCTCTGTCGACTGCGTCACTCAAGATCTGACGTTACTCTTGCCTGCCGGCGTAAAAAACAACCCCACACACACACACACACACACAGGATGTTGAGGGGTTAATGACTCACCAGTCGTGATGTGATTGGGTTCAGTGCTCCAGTTGTTAGTTTTAATCCCCTTCTAGTCTTAATCTGTCGACTTAACGCTCACACACACACACTCTTGCTGTCTCCTTACATCGTCTTACTTGCGCAACTCATTGAAATGTTGGTTGTGTACAGTAAGACTGATGCTAATAGGCGTTAAAGAGCGAGATTCATTACAGAGGTCAGACAGCTGTCTCCTGCTCATGTGTTCGTTCAGACTACAAACCACTTGTGACCGAACTGTCAGCAACATCAGGGTCAGCGTCTGTGTGACCTCCTCCTCGTTGTTGTTGTTGTTGTGCATTTATCTTCCAGCTACTTTCTACTGTACAGAGTAAACGCAGCATTCAGATGTTTTTCTTGGACAATAAGTCGGCGCACTGCCCCTCTTTACTGTATATAATGGCATCTGGTAGACTAGTGGTTCCTATCAAAGGTCATCAGATGGCTGAGCACATTTCTACTCAACAAAAAAATGCTTTTTTTCCCCCCAGAATTGTTTTCGTCTTAAATGAGAAATAAGAGCCATACGAGAAACAAACACTATTTGGGGGAGCTCTCATAACCTGTACATAACTATGCAGTCTGTGATAAAGGCTGCTTGTAGCTTTCTTACTAAAAATCAGTGAGATTTATATATTTCATGAGCTTTCCAGCTACCCTTACAATAATTCCATTGATTTTCGATGCTAACGGCCTGATATTCTGGTCTTTCTTCCTCCTGTGGATTTGTTTTTTTTTTAGCTTTCTATTCAATGGATTTCAAGAGAATGTTTGATTTTTATTTTTTTTTTGTGGCAGACTGGAGGAAAAGAATGAATCTGCTTTGTGTCATGTGACTCTTAAGTCTCAGTGTTTGGTTGACTTGCTGCTTGTGTTGGGAATGCTAATAGTGGTCCACATTGGACCTGGATTTGTACTTGTTTTTTATAATTTCTCAGCTGATTTAACTGAATAGTGTTTGTCATAATTAGATATTATATGTGTTCAAGAGGCACTGAGGCAACTTTTGTGTGCTGTGACCAAACTGCTCACTTTTAACAGAACTCGTAGATAAATTTGACGTGTATAAATGTTCTCATCCCCTCTGTGGTACTTAACAGTCTGACTCTTAAATGGAGAAACTGTCCTGGATTTTAGATAAATAACTGTAGTAAATTTATTGAGTTCTAATAAAAAGATGGCAACAAATATTGAGCATGGTGTTCCCTGTGGTGATGTTTTACCTAACAGAACAGGTAGAGCGGGTTGTCCTCCAGTTGCAAGGTTGCCGGTTTGATCTCCGGCCCCTCCACAGTCGAAGCGTCCTTGGGCAAGACACTGAACCTGAAGTTGCTCCCCAATGGCAGGCAGCACCTTGCATGGCAGCTCTGTCGCCATTGGTGTGTCAATGGGTGTGTTAATGGGTGAATGGGTGAACGATAAAAACGCTATATAAGTGCAGACTATTTACTATTTACCAAACATACTACTGTGTGCTGTAGACCTTACATAGTGGATATGTTGCTAAGATAATGCTGCTCACATGGCTGGTGGTTGCAGCGTTATTTGCATTTTGCCTTCATCAGTGTAGGAATATCATATTGCCTAAATGTTATTTTAATTAATTGCTGTTTTTGGTAGTCTTGCACAGAAGTGTTCATTTAAAGTTGGCTGCAGTGTCTGTGGATGGCCACTAGGAGGCAGCATGTTCCTGTCCATGTCACACATGCTCTCAGCACATGAGGCCTTCTGTCTGAGTAAAGACCAGATTGGAGGTACGTCTCAGAGACCGGGTTACAGATGTTTGTTCTTTCTTTTTCTTCAATTTATTTTCTGAAAGAAAAGTTTTCAGCTTTGGGGTTTTCTTCAGGTTCCACCACAGCAGACAGGCTGAGCGAGACGGTCGCCTCAAACGCCGTCGTCTTTCCTAATTTTCAACTTTAGTTATTGCATAATACACATGCTGTCTTTGCTTTAGCTTCCTATTTTTTGTCAAACCTGAGAGAAGAACAAAACTAAACCAAAAAGGCACTAACAGGACAAATATTCTGCTGCATGTTGTAAAAAAAAAATTTAAAAAAAAGCTAAAACTTCTCTGAAACATTAAAATATGGCACTATTCTTTAGCAGTTTGTCCAATCCATTAGCTACTTTAAAGTGAGATGGAGGAAGGGAATGCCTATTTCCCAACCAGATTTGATAAGCTAGTGCGCAATTTCTGATTCAATACCACTTCATTTTACCAATTATATAAATAACACAATAATTAGTAGCACATTTCATGCAGGGAACAAAACAAAAATGTCATTTTTATTACAAGGATGCATTCAGTTGGTGGAAAAAAAGAGAATGTATGAACAGTGGCATGAATGATCAGTCTGTTCATCCTGACAGAACCAGTGCCAGTAGCATAAAACCAGTTCCTTTGTTTTTAAGTAGAAATAATCCTATTGGCTCCTCTTCAGCTGTGAGTACCCAGAATCATCACAACCTTTCACCCCACGAGTTAAGGCATTGCACATTGGACCTACTGTTAAAGGTTTCTGACCAAAAAATGAGCAGCTGTGTTCAGGTTGTATCATATTACCTGTAAAAGCTACAGGTGAAGGAGTAAACGTGCAGGAAAAGACTGTGTCAGTGCAAACGGCTGCTGTACGTACAGAAACAAAGCTTTCAAACACAAGAACAATTCCTCTGCTACAGTTAAAATATCCATTTACAAGAGCGAAGAGGGAAAGAGAGAAATAATACAATAACAGAAGAAAAGAGCAGAGAAATTGACTTTTAGCTCCTCGTTGTTGTTTTTAATGCGTTTCAGTGTGAAAATACAAAACCGGTGTAATCTGTCTCTCTCTAAAGGCAACATCTGTTCCTGTTGTTATGTGTGAAAATGTTTGTTGATTCCTCCCTCAAACCGTGATAAAATGTTCCATCACTTGCACCGCTGTGTGTCTGAATCAATCACGTCTCCGCTTAACTTTGGAACATGTTTATCTTTTAGGGGGGCTGAAAATGTGCCTTTAAGTCGACTCAATGAGGTACAGTTCTAATGTGTGAGACCGGGGTTTGGGCGCTGACTGTAAATATACCTTTGAGGTGGTTCATTTACATAACACAGTGGGCCTCACATATTATTCACACAGACTTTCAAACAGTCGGGCGAATTTCGGCGAGGCTCCACTCTGCTCTGACATATTGTGATTGAACCAGTCACATCTCGTATCTGTTTAATCCACGTTAAACTCGCGTAAACTCCACATTAGCATACAGTCGGCCTGTTGGTATTGTTGTTTCTCACGCTTTTATCTCCTCTCCTCACTCTTTTAAGGTTATACGCAAACTGTGTTCACAATTTGACACGCTTAGAAGTGTTTAACTTCACTTACTCACCCTTAGAGTCGATGCTGCCTGCCCAACCCAACTCAGGTTGTCTTCTTATCATTCATTACTGTCTTTTTCATGGTATGAAACCTGCAGTACAGCAGTATTGACATCAAAATAAAGTACTGGAAGAGTAAAGGAAAAATCCTATATATTATTGGGTTAAATTTATCGATTAAATAATGTGTGCATCACTTCACGATATATATATATGCAGCCAGAAGTAGCTTTTACTACATGCTGCTGGGTAAGTAATCTGTAATAACATAGCATAGTTTAATAGTTGACTTATATTTAACATAAATAATCTAAATCTGCAAAATAACGAGTGACTGAAGCTTAAAAAATAAATGCGCTGGAATATAAAGTATTTATAAAATATTTGCTGCCAACATATTTCTTTGATTTTTCCAAGTTGAACAGACGTAAAAAAGTAATAAGTTGCATAAATTGGAAATATTCAAGTAAAGTACATAAGAATAAAAATACATAAAATGTAACAAAAGTATAAGTACGTAAAACAAATATACACAAAGTCAAACATAGAAACTACAAATAATTAAAGATACTTGAGTAAAGTAAAACTACATTAAAATAAAAATACAGATAAATAAAAAAAAATGCAGAAAATATAAATATGTAAGTAACGCACAATATACTCAAATAAAAATAGATCAAATAAACCTAAAAAAAAATACATACAATTGAAAAGTATGCAAGCACATAGAATAAAAAGACATACATTAAAAATTGCATATGGTTAAACATACTTAAGTAAAATAGAAGTAAATATAAATTGTACTTCGGTACAGTGACTGGACTTAGTTATATTCAGTCACCAGTTGTTTTATATTAAACACACATTTACACATCCAGCTGACAAGGAGCAACATTATCACCTACTTGTGTTTGTGTTGTCCCGGTGAAACGCTTTTTGCTCAGTTCATTCAGTTCCTTGAGCCAAATATCTTCAGCTGTTAAACACTCTTCTCATATTTTGGTGTGTTGTTGTGTTAAGCTGCTGCGCTGGACCTGCTCAGATTACATCAAGGCTGAATATTGTATGAAACTGAAATGGGCGACTATTACATGACATTTTAGGTGTCTAGTTATGGATCTGTTTGTTTCTTTCAGTTGCTGTGAAATTGTCTGCACTATTTCTTTTTTATTATCACTAGTGTGACTTCCAGAGTGTATTTTGATGGATTTCACGAGGTTCTTATAAACCAGTGAGAGGTCATAAAGCGGACCGCATGAGGAAGTTTACAGTGCTGTAATCTCATTGTGTAGGCTGCTTTATTGAAAAAAAAAAAGAAAGAAAGAAAGAAAAAAAATCCATCTGTGGATATTTAGACGGCACTTGGATGCGATTCTTTATCCTCACACACAGCAGAACAATATGTTGTGCTCGGGCAAAGCAGTGAGAATAAGGTGTAAAAGTGATGACAGATTTAAGAGTGACGACAGGTTTTTTTGCATGAAGGAGGAGAAAGGAGGCTGATGTGCGTGGAACCCATAGCAAAGTGATTCTGGGTGTCGGTGTGAAGCGTACAAACACGAGGCAGGATGAAATAGCTGCGACTGAACTGCTGCCTTCTGATTTGTTTTTTTGTTATCTTTGCGTCTGATCCTCCTCCGCTGCATTCTGACAGAGAGTGCTGTTTCAGTATAAGCGTGTCTTTGTGATGATGGCGCTGGAAAAGCGATCACAGCCCAGGGACCCCCTCAAGAACCTCTGGATGTCGCCCGTGGAAACCCTTTGCATGTGGTCTCCACCAACACAAACACACACGTACAGTAAAAGCGCACACACACACACACACACACCTTGGTGGTGGTGGTGGTGGTGGTGGTGACAGGAGGGAAAATCATTTGAGGATTTTGGTTCAGGTCTCCCTCTTTGTGTTTCTCTAAGTGTGTGTGACAAGCCAGCAGGGCAGTGATCAGTGTGCGCACACATAACCTCCTCCATGGATGGATACGTATGGTTCTGTGAATGAGTAATGTGAAAGACAGAGAGGATATGTGCTCAATGAATCACAAACGCCATCGATCAGGGCAAGTATTTCCACTCATATTTTCAAGCTTTTCGAAAGCTCTAATAATAGTCTGGGAAATTATTTGCTTTCAAATAAGAAAAAAGAACGTCCACCGAAAAAGGTGACGAGTTTTCTTCTTGTTAATTGATTTTTGCCTTTTGACTGAACATTAAAACTACAAATGGTCATTTTTATTTGGAAAGCATTACTGCTAAGTACCACACAACCAGACCTCAGTAATACAAGGATAAACCCACATGGGGTGTCTTTGTAAGATGTTCAGCAGCCACATGCTGCCAGAACACCTCTAGTGTTTCTTGGCTACTGAGGTCTCCATAACTGTACTGGAGGGATGATCACTGTTCTACGAAAAGATATTCACTCATTGGTGTTTGGATGATGGTGGTGGTGGAGAGTGATGTTGATTCAAAACCTCCCATAGGTGTTGGGTTGAGATCAGGTGACTTTGAAGGTCATAAAATAGGATTCACATCATTTTCATACTCATCAAACCATTCAGTGACCACTTGTGTCATTCAAATAGTGGGAGGTGTCATCCTTAAAGAAACCGCTCCTGTCAGGATAAAGTGTTCATCAGAGGATAAAGATGACCACAAGGAGACAAGTGCACCCAAACCACGGTAGCAAAATATATGTAATACACAGCAAAAAACTGACATTGAGAAGCTAACACTAAAACGTACTGTTTGGGCTCAACAAGAAAAACATTCTGCAACAGTTTGCATCAATCTTTTTGAATTATGACAACTTCTAAAGAATAATCTTCAA